TAAGTCAGGGGTCAGCTGGAGGCTTCTCCTGACTCCTGTAGCTGCACAGGCTGCCGAAGTGGACGCAGGAAGATGAACAGGAAGACCACAGGCTGGCGGCTGCAGAGATGAATGAACCCGTGCTTGGTAGTTCCAAGGCAATACCAGGGGGTACCCAGCTGGGTGGAGCTTTCATAGTATGCATTTAACCCAATAGGTGAGCATTGAGCAACTGGCTCAGCGTTAGTGCACCCAGTGACATCACCTGGGAATGTTCTCTTTGGTCACCGTGAATTTTTCCGTGAAAGCAGTTTTACTCAAGCCTCGTTTTTTGTGATGACCGATTTAAGAGAACAACATGCAGCTGTGATACTTAGTTTCTTGCTCAGGAAAAATGCCACAGAAACTGTTGTGATAGTAAAGGCAGCTTCTTAGAGGACAGCGCTATGGGAAAAACAAGTGTATGTGTGTTTTTCTCGTTTCAAAAAGTGAAATGCTGATTAATGACAAACCTTGTTCTGGGTGTCCATCAACTTTCCCAACAGATGAAAATGTCAACGAAATTCATGGACTTGTGCTTAAAGACTAACAACGGACCATTGAAGAGAGGGGGAAGTTATCTGGACTATCTTGGATTTCGGTTCAGCTCATTTTAACAGAAGATTTGGGAATGAGAAGAGTTGCTGCAAAATTTGTGCCTCGGGTTTTAACTGACTGGGAAAAAGAGCGTTGAGTGGAAACATGCTATGCTTTGAAAGAACAGCTCCTAAGCGGCCCAGACTTTTTTTCCCCAACTTTTTTTCTGGTGGTGACACATGGTGCTATTCTTATGAATCCGAAAGCAAACATCAATCAAGCCAGTGGAAGATGCCATTGTCACCTGACCCCCCAAAAGCTCATCAAGTGAAATCAAAGATCAAGATGTTGCTCGTTTGTGGTTTTGATGTGAGGGGGATCGTGTATTTGAAGTTCATACCACCAGGTCAGACTGTTCATCGAGCTGTCTATTTAGAGTTTCTGTAAAGGTTGCTTAACATTGTGTGACAAAAGCCAGATTTGTGGCAGACGGGACTTGTTTTGCCACCACAACAATGCACCTGCTCACACAGCCATCTCAGTGTGTCAGTTTTTGGCAAAAAACAGCATGCCTCTTGCCCCACACACCTTACTCACCTGACCTCGTTCCACGTGACCTTTTTTGTTTACTCAAATGAAGAGGGACATAAAAGGACAGCAATTTGAAGACATATATATTAGTCTAGGTACCTTGGAGAAACAAATCCACAGCAACTCATGTATAAG